CTATTTAAAATTGGAAATCCATAATAGTTTATTGTTCTTATTTCAAATACGAAATGGAAATGGGGTTTTACGTTTTGGATACCTATTTCGAATGATATCAATTCATAAGAGAAACTCCGATTTGCGTTTATAATAAACTCGGATAAGAAAAGCCTTTCTTATGTTTAAGGGTGCTCATTTATATGCTGATTTAATGATTTACAGGTGTCCATTTATTCGAGGAATACGAAGAATTGTGTAGAACGTAAATATGTAAGAGACATGAAATCACGATTTCGTTCCTATGTCCGATAGTTGATGCATCGTAAATTTTCCTACGGTATTTCACTGTATATATATTTAGAAACTATTTCTTTTAAGCTAAGGTAATATTCTAACTTTGGTTCAGTGAATGGAACAATTGAATCGCTGAGAAACTTGTTAACATTTAATAGAACATGTTTTATTATATTCTTTATAAAATTCTGTAAATTATCTTTTAACAAAAACTACGTTAGGTGGGTCAGGGACGCTTCACAATATTACTTAAATAATTTTCATTAATTGTTTTTGTTTATAAATATTTATTTTCTTTAGGAAATCCATTCTGCCTCTCAGGCGATTCAAATTCCGCGCTGCTCCCGCTGCTAGTACGCTGCTCGGCCGGAGAGGGCAGAGAGGACAGGGGGAAACCATCGACTGAGTTCAGTGAACACATGTCAACTCCCTCTGTTAGCAATCTAGGGTTATGAATAGAAATTTGTTACGGGGCGAGTGTCGGAGCAAGTAAGGGGGAACCCGTAGGAACAATGGAAGGCAGCCATATTGTTGTGCCAAAATTTTAGTTTCCTCTGATTGGTTGAGGTTCAGTTGTTACATTAAGAGTAACTAGTAAAAAACGATGAACAATAAATGAAAGACGCTATGATACTTGTAGCATAAAGATGGTTAAACATTATGTTTTATGTACAGGAGTGGCAAAAATAAATAAGATAGAGCAAATGGGAAATATGGAGCAGATGACCTACTAATCAGAAGACAACAATATGGCTATTCTACCCTATCCTTTCCGACGCGCAGGCTTTCCCCCTAGTCAAATATGGGACTTCGGGCTCCGTCCATATATTTTCACGTCCATTATTTATAGTCAAACTGTTTGAGCCAGGGCGTTTATTACGTATTTTTGACGACAGCATTCACTTCTCGCACTTTCATCTCACGTGGGTTTATTCGCCGAATTACGTATTCGCTATATGAAAGAACGAGATCACTAGCACTTCCGGTGTAGTAATATTTTAAATAAAGGTATATACCTTGTAAATCGAAAATTGTTGAGAAATAGTGGGTTATAGACAGAAAAGGCGGGAAGATGGAAAGCCGTTAAAAGTAAAGAAGATGACTCGAGTCTGTCTATATTGTTTCTAATATGTATTACATTCATATTTACATATACTATAATAAGAAGTTCAACAATATAATTTCTCATCGTGTCATGTAAGCATGAATTAATTAACAGTTTTCGATGTTTTATAATGTAATATAACCTCGCAATAACAAAAACTAACCTGTACATCCTAGTAAATTGTCTTTCTTCTAGTGAAAACTGGTCTGAGGCATCACGTAATTCCCTTCTTCTTCTAATAAAGTTGTTATTATTACGTCCCCGAATACGATTATTGCCAAAGATTAAAACACCAGAAGGTTGTCCGTTTTGAATTTCGGTGTCAATCCGTGGAAGATGGCGTTCAAGGTGCTTATTTTTCTAACTTTTCTTGTATGCTTCATCATTTCGCTTAAAAATTTGTGTCATTCCAATTCATATGAATGGTCTCGCATTTTCACCTCCAAAAACGTTCCGTAATACCGTGAGCTACTCATTTTTCACATTTTCGCTCAATTTGCTTTACGTAATAGACCTCGTGGGTTGGGTATATCCCAAACTTGGCGTTAAGAATTCGGTGGCGTTTCATGCTTACACATGGCTTCGCGGTTACGTATATGTTGTGACGTGGCATTTTGTTGGGGGAAATGCCGTCACAAAACGGGACCATTTTACCGCCGCAGCAACGGCCACTGAGAACCGTTGTTCTGGGCGGCAGTGGCTGATGGGGCGGGGATGGTGACGGCCGTTGGCCAAAATATTACTTTTATTTCAATCACGCCGTTTGCATTTATATATATTGTTTTGCTTTATTAAAGGGACGCGAACTCGAAGGAGCGTGTTAGGGATCTCAGCTGAGAACTTTTTCTTTCCTTTGCAATGTTTTGTTTAATTAATGGTAAGATGAATCACGAATTATAAATTATATGCAATTAATCGTCCTCGAAGTTCCCTTTTATTCCCTTTGGCCGAAAACAGGCATTTTAATTATTTAATTGGGTACCTCGTATCCAATTAATCCATCTCTCTTCAATAGCGTATTCGAAAGGAACTGAAATAAAACAATGTCATCTTTCGCACCGTCTCATTGGCAGTAAGCCATATTAGGACCTTTTCCAGCCCAATTTTAATTTCCTTCACCTAGTGTGAATATTTAGGCGTTCAAGGTCTCGCCAAATTGGGAAGATTTTAAGTGCTACGGCCCGACTCGGTGCGTGCGTGCGTGGGATGACCCAAAACAAGGCACCAGGGCCATCAAGACAGCGACCGGAGAAGCGCCTGTAGGGCACCTACGAGGAGGACCTGGGGAACTGCGTCAAGGGCCATCTAACACCATGGAGGGTTGCACCTGCTTCTTCCCTCAGGCTACCTGGACCATGCAGGAGTCGGACCTGCAGAGGCCGCCGGATGCCGGACCCACGGAGGCAGGGCCTCAGTTCGTCCTAACAGCGCGAGGAGGCCCGCCCGCAGGGAGGGCTCCGACTTCCCGGCAAAAATCTAACAAGTGCACGAGCCGCCTGCATTCTCGACAGGAAAGGTTTTTTCGTTTAAATTGAGGCGTCGGACGAGCGGCTACGATTTTTTTTCTTTCTAGGGAGATACAGGGGTTTGAAGCAATTTTTGATGTATATAAATCACATCATTTGTAGCAGGTTTTCGGACGTTCTCTGCCCCGTTGGGTTCTTTTTGCACCTGCCATGACCCTCTACCCGATAGGAAAGGTTCTTCCGTTCAAACTAGGGCGTCGTACGAGCAGCTGAGATATTTTTTTGAGGAGATATAGGGGCTTGAAGTGATTTTTGCAGTAAATCATATCATTATCAGCGGGTTTTCGGACTGTCCTGCCCCGCAGAATTTTTTTCGCACCTGTTATTGTCCTTTCCCTGATAGGACGGGTTGTTCTCTTCAAGTTGAGGCGTTGTAGGAGCGGTTGTGGGATACGGATGCATGCTTAATGAAGAGCAATTATTATTTCTCGGAGGTTGGAATAATGATGGAGTGCCGGCCATCGCTTATCTTCGTCGCACCAATGCTTTCTGAACCCTGTCCGACAAGGCTACAGGAGTGGTCAAATCTATCTCTCTCTGGAACACACTCGCTGTGTTTCTTAAACGTGGCGAGTTTTCCAGTTTACTATATAATACAGTGGATCCAATTTATCTCTGCTCTTTATCTCTGAGTTGGGCCGCTATTGGAGGTAAGTGCGTGAGCCGCCCGTATTCTCCACCGAGGGCAGCACTGACAGCGATCGCGTGACCCTGCCCGTGAGCAATCTCCCAACTTACCTCTGTCGAGCAATCCTCTATAGTATCGAGTCCTTGGTCTGGACCAACCTAAGCGACTGAATCGGAAGATCAACAATAATTCAAAATGGAGGCCGCAACCAAGCCAGATGTCAGAATATCTCGATAAAACGGTAGAATGGTTGATTAAACAAGAGAAGATTTCGGTTATGGCACCGTTGAGAGGGCTAATTACGTGGCAGCATATTCTATGCTAAGTAGTGTTAGTAGCAGACGTATCACGTTACGATGAGATTGTGCTCATCGAATTACGATATAACGTAACCTTTTCCAGAAGTATACAGAGGTGTCGGAACGGAGCGAGACCTCCGCCGTGCGGAGGTAGGTTTTGATATTTTAAGATCTCATGCTAGTGTTGATATGTACTAGATCCAATCTAACCACTTGCGCGAGCCTCCCTTTGAGGGTTTAACATGTTACGGATCTGACGTGTGTCACGATTTTACCGATTTTGTTTTTCCCCGTTATCTGCGAATCTATATTCTAAGCACGGATCGTGCATCCTTTATTGCTGATGATTCACCAGTCGTGGACACTAAGCTAGACGTCAATTTCTGTTATTGAAAGTAAAACAATTTTCGTTCAACTTAGGTGATAGTTTATTATCAAGGTTTTCATGAAAATAATTAGATCAGTTGTGAAACAAAAGGAAATACTTAGCCATTATGTTTTATCATTTTTATTTTTGAGTATAGCTAGGGATGATTAATTTTTTACAATTAGCTAGTATGTATTGATAAAATTACTTGGAGCCTATTGTATAAGAAGTAGTGAATTATTATTTATGATTAAAGAGAAATTCTGACTTTTTAATAGATTACAAATACAAGGGATCATAGGGAACATTTAAATTATTTCTTAATATTTAGGTATTATACTATATAATTAAAGATTTTGATTAATTATTAAAATGTTTTAGTATTATTGGGTTGGAAAAAACATTCATCATAATAATTTATGATCTGTAATTATTATTTCAGCATTATTCATTAATTTCAGTGGTAATGATGTAGATCAAAATTGGCATTTAAATATATTCCCAAAGGTTACTAAATTTTATAATTCTAAAAAGTAAATTTTTAAATCAGAGTTGTTTAAAATTTCATTGAATATGTTATACTTACGTGCACATAATTGATAACTTTATTTAAAATGAAGTATCTCAAGATACTTATATCTAACAAGTAATTAAAGAACCTTCTATTTAGATTTCATGACTATCATAAGGAGAAGATAGTAAATCCAATTAAACTCATGGTACATGCATTGGCTGATTTTATGTCTACTCTTTAATTTTTCGATTGAAAAATAAAGAAGAGAAATGAGTGGAAGAGATGGAGGAACGGATGTAGGACATGGATGGCACAAATGCGCAAATTGGTTGACACGATGTGGAGCACTACGTGCAGACCATCGTGCTAATTGGACTTCGGCGACTGCTTTTGACTTGGCTTATACATTGCGTGATGGAGTGTTACTGTGCAATCTGCTGAACATCATAGAGCCTGGATGTATAGACATGAAGGATGTAAATCAAACACCTCAAATGGCACAATTTTTGTGTTTACGTAATATAAAAATTTTCTTGTCTGCTTGCTCCTCCATGTTTGGCCTACCAGACACAGATTTATTTGAGCCTACCATGTTATTCGACCTATCAAACTTTCATCGAGTACTGTGTACTCTTTCCGCTTTGTCAAGTTGTCCTTACCTGAGACGCAAAGGCATTCCGTAAGTACATTTAATGTCCTTTACTTTTTTCCTCACGACAGCTCGATCACTAGTGATATTTAATTACAGTGGCTTCTCCGTGGGACGCGACAGATCTCAGGAAGATATTTATAAGAATTTACAGAGCGCAGGTGCAGGGTGAGTTTCTTTCATTTTTACCATTAAACTACTAACTTTTTAAGAAGTTGAATTTGTACAAGTACATTTACGCCCCCCTTGTACAACTATTGAACATTAAATTCTGTCATGCCAGAGGTTATCTACTCGTAGAATAAATAACCATGGATAAATGTAGGTCGTTCATTTCCATGAGACTTTTTTGGGTATGAATAAATTTCCAATAATATCTGTTAATAGACTGTTAAAATTTAGCCCCACGGAAGCAGTGGTGGCGTTTACCATAAAACCTAGGGGTGTGGACCTAGGTGAGTATCAAGTTTATCAGGAATTGATCTACTTTTCGACTACACCTCAATACGATTGGCCTTCCGTGGAAGAGGTACATGTCGTATTGCGTCTTGGTAGTTAAAGCGTCAGAGGACCTGCGGAAAAAGTAGCAAGCCTCACTGAGAACATGATTCCCCGTGAGCGGCAGTGACAGTTTACGTAAAACCTTCGTTTAACATAATTCAATCAGGATGGTCCGGAAATAACGTCTCATTGGCACTTGCGCTCTTTCTCAAGTAGCAATGTTCCTAAACGTGCATTTAGTTGCGTACACTGCACTATGCACAAATCTGCAACGCACAGTAATATCCTTTACTCCGGTTACGACATTAAGAGGTCTCGACGTTTAGAGGTCTCTAAAAAAAGAGTAAATATATTGCCTACGGATTATTTCCCAAGAGTACCAAAGTTAAATGAAACAATAACTATTGCAAACTTTGTTGCGGTACCAATATGTAATACACTAAGTTTATGGTTCTGCCCTTCTAGCGGAAGTTGTTTATCGCTTATAATGATTGGTCGTGTAATTAACAAAAAAATCTTCAATTGCCAATATTTATTTCTTATAAATGCCATTATAAGTGTCAAAAATAATTTGTTTAACACGTTCAACGTTCACAGAAATTTCAATTGTACAGCTTAAAGAGGTATTAAAATTGTTCTCTACCGGGTAGTTACTCGAAAATTGCGACAATTGAAGCTTTAAGATTTGTGCGCAGTTCAGTGGCTTTGCATAACGTTTATTCTTATCGTTTTTCGTAGTGGAGTTAAATAATTGATAATAATAGATTACCGGTTAAGTTTACAAACACGTTTGTACCATATGGCTGATAGTGCATGGCTGTTTATGTTTTTATTCGAAAGACGCGAAGACGAAGGACGTCGTCGAAGATTTAAGCGACGGGAGGGCGATGAGCCAGGCAATGGGGGGGACAACGAAGATCCAGTCGCGGAGGATGGTTACGGAGCATACTGCAATCATGCTCGAAGCGAAGAAATTTACCAGGATCTTTGTAGTTTGCATCTGCCATTACCCCCGTCTGCTGCTCAGGTCATTATTATTTCTATGATTTTCTTTCCTTTTTTGTATAAGTTAGCTATCGGATCTGAACTAAAACCGAAGACGTGCGGACCCGTTTCCAGAACTGTTGAATGCGTTCAATGACGCATGACCCCATACGGGGTTGGATCAAGTACTGATGTTAATCAACATAAATATGAAAAATATCTAGACTTTACGATTAAAATAGAAGGTACATTTTAAACATTGCTTCGAACAACTCAACATTAAATCGACTTCTGTTAGGATAGTATGAATAACACTTCAGGGACAAATAATAAATTTGTATCAAACGTCTTCATCAGATCAACAGTTGAAGAGTACCGCTTGTCAATAATCGAAAAGAAAAATTTATACCATTTACAGAAAATGCTAAAGTCTTTATAACAAGTACCGTTGAGTGGTGTTTGCTTACACTGAAAAGTCAACGAAATCTGAAAACGGAGCTGTCATCCGATTTGCATGATGAATATTTATCGACCTAATGGACTATCCCATAAGTTTGTGCCGTTTCTTTTTTGTATCTCTATGAATGTATTGTAAGTGAAATTTAACGAAATTTCGTTGTGCACAACTTCCCAATGATCGGTAGTTTTTCGATCCCTCGTTAAGAAAAATATTATGACATTTTGAATATTTAAACGGCACGAACTTGTGGGCTAACTCAATACTATTACATTTAGTTAACACTCTTAATAGTAAATTTCAACTTCTACTCGTTTGTTCTCCACCATGCAAAAGTTTAGCTTGCACTCTTCGTTCGACCCGGGATTAATTCCCAGGCAATTTGCTTTCGTCAGTTAAGTATCAATAATAAGATTTCGTTTACCTCACTCGCATTGCTTACGAGTACTTTCTTACTAATGGAAGTCTCTGTAGGGTGGTGTAATATCCGGAGGAGAGAAGAGGGATTACGTTGTCCAGGAACTAGTGGAGACAGAAAGGAATTATTCTGAAGTACTGAACAGCATGCTGAAGCATTTCGCGAGACCGCTTTCGGCGTTACTTCGACCCGAGGATTCCGCAAAGATCTTCTTCGGAATCAAAGAACTCTCGGAGATCCATGTCGGGTTTCACAGTCAACTTCGGAAAGCCCGCAATGGAGCTGCCTTGGCACAGGTGTTTCTCGACTGGCGAGAAAAATTCCTCATTTACGGAGACTACTGCGCAAATTTGACTGCTGCCCAGAGTACGTTGCAAGACTTATGCGCACGTAACGAGGCGATTAACCAGGAAGTTATCGTAAGTTCGCTAATCTCAGTTAGGTCAGACCTCGAGCTATGCTAATCACCATTGAATCGGTTCCCTGCTTTAGAGGTGCCAACAAGAAGCAAACAACGGCAAGTTCAAGTTGCGAGACATACTGTCCGTACCGATGCAGAGGGTGCTCAAATACCACTTATTATTGGACAAACTGGTGGAGGAGACTCCACGAGACTGGGTCGATGATCGCCGACAATTGGGCAGAGCTAGAGAAGTGATGGTTGACGTAGCACAATATATAAACGAAGTTAAACGTGATTCCGATACGTTGGATATAATCAGAGATATACAGGCCTCGATAGTTGATTGGAACGTGAGGGAATGTGAGCCGCGACTGAAGGACTTCGGGCGGCTGCTGATGGACGGGGAGCTCAAAGTTTGTAGAGCTGGATTAAGAGGACATTTTTGTTACATTGATGTATTTGTATCTTTCAATTTTCTTGTACTCTAGGTCAAGGCTCATGGCGATCAACGGGTGAAAGCACGGTACGCATTTGTCTTTGAGCAAGCTGTGTTGGTATGTAAAGCCGGAAAGGGGGATCAATATTGCTATAGAGAGACTCTTCGATTGGATGATTACCGGCTGGAAGATCATACAGGAAGACGGACCCTTGGAAGAGATTCCCGATGGTCTTATCAATGGCTACTGGTGCACAAGCAAGCGTACACCGCGTACACTTTATACGCTCGAACCGAAGAGCAAAAACAAACGTGGATCAAAGCATTGCAGGATGCGATGGATAACGTTAATCCTGCGGCGTGCCGTAACACAAATCACAAATTCAGATTGACGACGTTCGATACCGCACGTAGTTGCCAGCGATGTGGCAAGTTTCTTAAAGGACGGATCTTTCAAGTAATGTATTCTTTGACGTCATCAAGAATATTCCTGAAGTCTGGAATGGCTTTCGGAGGTTTCGTTATTTACTTTTCCTATCGCACGCATTTGTATTAGTTCAAAGTACCGCATCGTTGATATTTAGATATTTGAAAAACGTACGTAAGCGAAACTCAGAATAGTGTATTAAATTTGTTTCAAAGGCAAGTGTTATGTGCGTTCGAGAACGAATCCAAACTTCAGTCAGTTATTAATATTCCCGTCTCTCCTTGCGTTATGATTGATGAATCTTGTTGCATGTTGCATTGTCTGAATTGCAGGGATACAGGTGTGATGTATGTCGGCTAGCGGTGCATAAACAATGCATATCATACTCAGGGCGTTGTACGCCTATTCCACCACCGCCTCCCCCACCGCCACCATCGCCTTATGAACGTGCCTTGGCAACCAAATTGTGGTTCGTCGGAGAAATGGGCAGAGACGCAGCGGCTCATAAACTGGAACCGCGTGAAGACGGCACGTACATGTTACGCGTTCGACCAGCGGGTCAACCTCGACTTAAACACGAAACTAACTATGCTCTTAGCATCAAGTAAGCATAATGTACTACTTTTAGCACGCTTATCTCACTACAAAGATTTTCCAAAAATGCTCTGACCCCATCACTGGAATAGAAAACAAAAATTTGTTCGAATTCTTTCATCTCAAGAATTTCTGAGGAAATGTGTCAAATATCTGTTACAGGAGTTTAGTAAAAACACCACTCTGTTTTAATAGTATTTAAAATACAAGTGTTCCATATTAACGATACATACGTTATTGATCTCTGGAGTATGATTAAAACATTTATTTAGAGTAATCTATTTCTCGACAACAACGTGAAATAATATATTTAATATATAATAATGAAAACGTAGATAATATTAAAAAATACATTCTGCTCATTAGTCATACATCTCATAAAAATAGGATAAATATAAAATTTATTAAATGTTATCATTCAAAATTCAGTTAAAGCTAGCGAAATTTGTAATCACTACTTAAAAACCTATTATTGTAAAACATTCTTACATAATCGGTATAAAATAAGATCGTATTTTTCTTATTTAAATATCTTATAACATTATATTTTATTTACAGGGCTGTAGGGGCAGTCAAGCATATTAGAGTATTTAAACGACACAGTGAGGGAGCAGATCTATACTACCTTAGCGAGTCTCGTTTTTTCAAAAGTGTCATCGAACTCGTAGAGTATTATGAAAGAGCGTCGTTATCAGAAAATTTTGAAAAATTAGATCAACGTCTATTGTGGCCGTTCAGACGAGTGTTGGCAAAAGCATTATTTGATTTCCGAGGGAGTGAACGCAACCAACTAAGTTTACGCCGTGGTTGCAGAGTTGTTGTTCTGAGTAAGGAAGGTGATGCAAAAGGATGGTGGAAAGGAAAGATCGGCGATCAAGTTGGATTTTTCCCTAAAGAATATGTCGAAGAAGAATAGACAGTATTTAATTAATTGGACTCTATCAGCATTTTAATTTTACTCTAGGGCATTCCATTCCTTGAGATCGTCCTTCCATGTGATTTGTTTTGACTTATGTGAATATATCTCATATATTATACACATGGTCCCACCATTTCGTTACGATAAAAAATCAATTCAAATATATATTTTATAAAGCTTTCTATAGATGTTACTGTACGGGGATGCTGTTACCCGCGTTTTACTGAACGAATACTGTTATAATATAAAATTACATATTATATATATACATATATGTTATATTAATGCGATAGTTAAATCGCGCCGTTTATAGAAATGTACATAAGTATATATTTATTGTGTATGTATAAAGATACACTAATGCTTCAGCATATGACACAATTAACATTATCATACAAAAGTTCACAATATTTTTCATTCCATAGGTGTTCTTTGACAATCGTGCCAACAAAACTTCTTAATAAAATTAGAAGTTTGTCAAATCGTTACATGACCATGGAACGTTATTTATGCCATTGTACCTTTTCACATAAGTCTCCGACAGACACGCGACTAGCTTTTCAAATCTGACCGATATGCAATTGCTGCAACTTTTTGGTCTAATCTCTTGCAACCAGTATTGGAGTAAAGAAAATGAGGAGGAGGACCGTAGGTAACAAGTGTCATACTCTCTTCCATCATTTCTTTTGTTGGTTGCAGATTTCTTTCTGTAAATGCTGCTTTCACACACATCATTACGTGCTGCTCTTCCATTGGTAAAAATGGCACATAGTGATCTATGAGACTAGCTTCTATAGTATCGCTCTTATGAAAGCCACCTTTTTCATTAAAAGCGCCCATAGCTATTACGCGTTCGAAATCTAGAAGCGTTGTCTCAATACGCTTTTTACCTTGTTCCCAAAGCTCAAGAAGACGCATAACAATTTGCCTACTACCAGTATTAGACAAAAATATGAAGATAGCATGATTTGTCGATACTTTTCCACCCATGACATGTGAATGATATTCTAAGAATGGTACAAGTACGTTTAACAAACCCTCTGGCATTTTATCCACTTCATCAAATACAAAAATAGATTTTTCACATTCCCTCAAAGCATTTGTAATTGTATCCTGAATCTTCACCTGTTAAATATGATAATTTTGTATATTTTGAATACATAACAGGGACAACTTATGTGCAACATTAGGTACTAAATTATGATTCCAAAATTAATAAACATAATAGTAAAGAAGTCGGTTAAACATTTAAATTAATTGAATATATACATTTTACTTCATAAGGTACAGAGGTTGATCTAATGTCTATGTACTTGGGTTTTCCTAATTAGTCTGGATATATTCTCTGGTTATTATATCTGTAACAACTTGCTTTCTAAAGAAAAGCCTGCTGCACATAGTGTTTGCTTTCTTGCTAGGTCATTCAATTGGAGCAGCGATGACAGTTGTGCTGGGTACCATGCTTGAAAATGATGTCACTACAAGCAGTGGTGCTAGGAGCCCTGCAGGTTTTTTGGTGATTGAACGTGTACTATTTTTTTTTTACTTTGTATTGTGCTGGTTGAAATGAGGAACCAATCAGAATCTTCGACCTCTCACTTCATTCACATTTTGTCTTTATGTTTTGGGAACAAGCCTGTCATTCACCTAAGTAGCTTGTTTTGTCCGAAGCTAAGTGCATCGCAATCTGCTTGAGACCATGCAGGGCAACCAGCACGACTGCCAGTACCACAATACCACAAACATGCCAGAAAAAAAAACAAATACCATGTGCAGCAGGCTACATTCATAATTTTTTTACAATTTAATTTTATATTTCGCTTTTCATTCAAATTATACTACTAACCTTATACTCATTGATATTTTGATGTTGAGGGAAATCACTTCTACCATTGAAAAAATGAAAATATTTACTCTTATGATGGTTTTTATAAAAAGCCATAGCAATCATATGTGTCACATAATTTTTGCCACTTCCTGGCACGCCATGTAGACTTAAGACAAGTGCTTTTCGAGGATTGTTATTCCATAAGTGACCACGTAATGCACTCATTATAATTTCATGTGCAATGTGTTGTCCAAATAACTGTGAATTAAACATTTTGTTGAGATCTAAAATGAAAAATCATTTATATTAGACTAACATGATTTTATGGGAATAAAATTATATTAAATGATGTTTAAAAATTATAAAGAAAAATGTAAGTACATAGCTGTTGTGATTAGCATATAATGTCAATAATTTTATCTAAAACATTCATAACATTCTCTAGTAATAAAAAAATGTATTAAAATACTTTGACAACAATCAGTTTTGTTAACTTTAACCTGCTTATTTGGCAATTCAACTTTTTTCATGTGTAGAATACTAAAAAAATAAAGATTAACGTAATGAATAAATGTAATTTTGAAATGTCTCAATCTTGCATGACAAATAACAAAATGTAAAGTTTAAGTTAAAAATAATGACTTACGTTCTAAATCCTGTAGCACAAAAACATCGTCGCAACATTCATTCCAACATTTGAAATATTTATAACTTGCAGCGACAGCAGCACCTAGACTCACTACTTCCCAGACACAGTTCACATACTGACTGAATAACATAACTAAAAGTAACAATAAATTTGCTCGCATATTCATACTGCCTAATGTTTTTTTATAATATTACACGGATACAGGCTAAAAGGAGACTTAAAAAATAAGAATAACCTAATGCAGAAAATTCAGACGTCTCCATAGAAGCCCCATAAGATACGGAAGTTTGATACTCGATAAATAGTACGTTCACCAACGGACGGCGGCGCTGTAATCAGCTCTTAATCTCTCTTATGCCCGATTTCTTCACCTCCTGCAGGAAAACAAGCACCGTCAGGGGGGTCTATTACATAAAGCAAATTGAGCGAAAATGTGAAAAATGAGTAGCTCACGGTATTACGGAACGTTTTTGGTGGTGAAAATGCAAGACCATTCATATGAACTGGCTCGACACAAATTTTTAAGCAAAATTGTGAAGCATACAGGAAAAGATAGAAAAATAAGCACCGTGAACGCTATCTTCCAAGAAGACGTAGGGAATTACGTGATGCCTCAGACCCATTTTCATTAAAAGAAAGAAAGTTTACTAGTATGTACATACAGGTTAGTTTTTGTTATTGCGAGGTTACATTACATTATTAAACATTGAAAATGGTTAAATAATTCATGCTTCCATGACATGATAAGAAAGTTATATTGTTGAACTTATAATGTACTTCTAAAGTACATGTAAATATAAATGTAATACACATTTCAAAAATATAGATAGACTCGAGTCTTCTTCTTTATCTTTAACGGCTTTCCATCTTCCCGCCTTTCCTGTCTGTAACCCATTACCTCAACAATTTTCAAATTACAAGGTATGTAACTTTATTTAGCAATATTACTAGACCGGAAGTGCTAATAATCTCGTTCTTTCACGTAGCGAATACGTAATTCGGCGAATAAACCCACGTGAGATGACAATGCGAAAAGTGAGTGCTGAGCCAGGGCGAATCAACGCTCTGGGCGTTTATTACGATTTTTGACGAGAGCGCTCACTTCTCGCACTGTCATCTCACGTGGGTTTATTCGCCAAATTACGTATTCGCTATGTGAAAGAACAAGATTACTAGCACTTCCGGTCTAGTAATATTGCTAAATAAAGGTACATACCTTGTAAATCGAAAATTGTTGAGAGGTAGTGGGTTATAGACAGGAAAGGCGGGAAGAAGGAAAGTTGTTAAAAGTAAAGAAGAGGACTCGAGTCTATCTATATTTTTTAAATATGTACTACATTCATATTTACATACATGTAGTATAATTAGATGTTTAACAATATAATTTTTTTATCATGTCATGGAAGCATTAATTATTTAACAGTTTTCAATGTTTAATAATGTAATATATCCTCGCAATAACAAAAACTAACCTGTATGTACATACTAGTAAACTTTCTTTCTTTTAATGAAAATGGGTCTGAGGCATCACGTAATTCCCTACGTCTTCTTGGAAGATAGCGTTCACGGTGCTTATTTTTCTATCTTTTCCTGTATGCTTCACCATTTTGCTTAAAAATTTTGTGTCGAGCCAGTTCATATGAATAGTCTCGCATTTTCTTCACCAAAAACGTTCCGTAATACCGTGAGTACTCATTTTTCACATTTTCGCTCAATTTGCTTTATGTAATAGACCCCCCTGACGGTGCTTGTTTTCCTGCAGGAGGTGAAGAAATCGGGCATAAGAGAGATTAAGAGCTGATTACAGCGCCGCCGTCCGTTGGTGAACGTACTATTTATCGAGTATCAAACTTCCGTATCTTATGGGGCTTCTATGGAGACGTCTGAATTTTCTGCATTAGGTTATTCTTATTTTTTAAGTCTCCTTTTAGCCTGTATCCGTGTAATATTATAAAAAAACATTAGGCAGTATGAATATGCGAGCAAATTTATTGTTACTTTTAGTTATGTTATTCAGTCAGTATGTGAACTGTGTCTGGGAAGTAGTGAGTCTAGGTGCTGCTGTCGCTGCAAGTTATAAATATTTCAAATGTTGGAATGAATGTTGCGACGATGTTTTTGTGCTACAGGATTTAGAACGTAAGTCATTATTTTTAACTTAAACTTTACATTTTGTTATTTGTCATGCAAGATTGAGACATTTCAAAATTACATTTATTCATTACGTTAATCTTTATTTTTTTAGTATTCTACACATGAAAAAAGTTGAATTGCCAAATAAGCAGGTTAAAGTTAACAAAACTGATTGTTGTCAAAGTATTTTAATACATTTTTTTANATAAAGTTTACTTAAATATATTATATAGGAAGATTCATCATCTATAGTGTAAAAATGGCAACTGCGAGTACTGCTCCTACCACTAACACGTACACTCGGTTGGAGGTAGCCAAGCACAAGGACACTAAGGAAACGTGGATTATAATTCATAATAAAGTTTACGACGTCACAAAATTTCTTAATGAGGTAGGGTACATCTTTGAATGATTTACGGACACAAATGAAGTGTAAATATTTTCTTAACCATATGTTATTCATAACTTAATAGAAAATTGCTTTACTTATGCTCATAAAATCGAATATTCTTAAAATTAAATAATTGTCATTTTATACAATGGGTAATAAATTATGTTTCCCATTAAAAAATCGGATGAAAAATATTAATCTTAGTACCAAAGTAATGGCAACTTTGATGAAATTATAACCCTGTTTTCATAACTGATAACCCATTGCGTAATTTAATCAATTTTTTTTTTCTAAAACTTAAGCACCCTGGAGGAGAAGAAGTCATTCAGGAACAATCTGGGAGAGATGCAACCGAAGCTTTTGAAGATGTTGGTCATTCTAGTGATGCCAGGCAAATGATGGAACCATATCAAATAGGAGAACTTGTAAAAGTAAATATCTATATCGCATTGAACACTTTATATATTTGAAGGTGTTTAACAATTTTACACACATGCAATTCTAAATTTTTAGGAAGATAGAACAAAATCTGATGACAAGAAAAGCGAGGACTGGTCAAATAAATCAAATGGAAAAGATAATTCCAGGTATTTATATTTATATTTAATACATTCTGAATTTTCATGCTGGTTTATTATTATATTTAACATAAGGTGAATTTAACAAAATATTGTATTCTTGTAACATATTTATAACGTAATTTTACTTTTTTCTGTAAGAAAATTGTCCCATAGCTACTTCCGAGTGCCAGAAAAAGTTAGACTGTTTTAGCTTGCGTAGCATAAATATTTGCTACGTATCATACATCCTTAAACACATTTGAATGCATGGTAATGTAGATTAGTTTTAAACTTATAACCTGTTAATGGTAGCTGCTGCATGGTGATGTAACAATTGCCAATTCCAGTGATTCTTGGAGATCATGGCTGATTCCTGTCGCACTTGGTGTTCTTGCTACTCTCGTCTACCGTTACTTCATCAGCTCGCACTGAATTAAATTATTTATTCAGTATAACTTGCATATAATAATCGATTTTTTAAAGATTAATTGTTATGCATTTGACGGATTTTACTATTGTATATTCTATATATACATAATTATTTTTAATTGGGATATACATAAGTAGTCAGGTGGCCTAGTATTTACAAAAGAGAAGTTAGATTTATTATTATAGTTAATATAATTATTATTGGTACTACATTAGGGTCTATTACATAAAGCAAATTGAGCGAAAATGTGAAAAATGAGTACTCACGGTATTACGGAACGTTTTTGGTGAAGAAAATGCGAGACTATTCATATGAACTGGCTCGACACAAAATTTTTAAGCAAAATGGTGAAGCATACAGGAAAAGATAGAAAAATAAGCACCGTGAACGCTATCTTCCAAGAAGACGTAGGGAATTACGTGATGCNATAATATCGATGCATTCAGGAATAAATTAATATAACTTAACCCTGGGTTCCACACCTTTATCCTACCATACCTGCTTTACCAATTACTTCTAACATGACTTTATTCTGAAATAAATGATGTAATATAACCAAAAAGAGAACAGAAATCTTAATGAAAACGTCATAATATTTTGTGGACAGAAAGTTACGCTTGTAATCACGCATGGGAAATATATAAATATACATGAATTTAATATACTTATTTAGTTTGAAATCTTATATGTGTGTGTATATTTATTTTTTTAAATATTGTCTTCTTTTCAACACTTTAAACTGAGATTTAAAGTGAATGATAGAGTGTTCTTTACTAAGATTCATTAAACTAGATTTCTTCTAAAACCAAATGCAATAGAGAATATAGACGAACAGAGTGTGTGTTAACAATAATTCTTATAACAATAAAAAAGATACTCTGTTTAAGAATTATAACATTTTTTTTCACAACGCAAGTTTATTTCTGATATACATAGCTTTCCACAATTACTAACTATTAATTTTAGAATTCAATTCTTCGTTTGAAATATTTTTCATTCATTTTCAACCTTCTTACATGTAGCTAACATATAACAATATCTTTGCACAAAATTGATCATGTGTAATACTACTAATGAATATTTGCACGTGTGCTTTATACTAAACTAACGATTTAAATTATGATTTATTTATTTGTGTGGTTTTGGATTTTTCTATTGCATCTACAAATTTTTATTAGATAACTTTATATATTCATATACTTGTTTAGACATTTATAACGATAATTATGCGCGTCACTATAAGCAGATGTATATTTTATGATTCCGTTCATCGTGACAACCAGAATTTGACGATTACATATAAGGTCAACGAGTCGCCAATGAATAGTTGGGCATCGCCCCAATTGAAGTAATTGAGCGCTTGGTGCTTATGGTCTCATTGTCTAATCTGATATTATTAAATGTTAACCCCGGTATTATAAACATCGATAATAAACAATCATTGGACATTAGTCGAGAAGCTAAATCTCCACACAAACTAATAAGTGTCAAAGAAAACATTTGTAACCTAACGGCATTGAAAGCAACTGCTTGTATACCAAGAATAGTACATGTAATAAGACTTTAATTCATTTTCATTTTATTCCGTTAATTAACTCTCTATTTCCATAGAACTGTAGGAAGGAATAACAATGTTTTATTCAATACAGAATAAAACAATCCTATAAGAATTTGTGTGCAATTTCATTTTTTTCAATTTTTAATATTGCAAAATATCTTTCCTAGGCCATTAACTACGATGGTATTGTGGCAAATGTTTTCTCGACCATTAACCATGATGTTGTGGCATACAATTTTTATCAAACTAACTTGTATTTGAGATGCTCGGCTTTTTCAGTTATTTAACACTTTATCTACCGAAAGCCAATTAATCGGGTTTACGATACCCGTGATCGCCATTTTCTTCCACATTCGCTGGTAGATAAAGTGTTAATAAAAGGGAAATCGATATGATTGAATCGGTCCGTGTAGATACGAAGATGTCGATTCAAGTTGAGAGTACTTTGTATCATTTTTAAAATCTCCGAAATGTGAATTCACCAGATGATAAAAGGTCCATGCACTCAACACATCTTTGGATAACGAGTGCGTGAAATTAAATTCTCAAATTAAATACTCAACATCCATTTTCTTAATCCTCCAACGTCTACATGTAGTTCCACTGAAGATCCCATATCGGGAGCGAGACAATTTAAAAATCGTCAAATAATTGATAACGTCGAAGAGAAATATTTAGAATTCAATAATAAAGACCGATCCTATCGAAGATAAATTTGAGCTCGAAGTTCTATGATAATCCTTTAATTAGAGACAATCAGATATAACCGATGCACGTAGGTGCGATTACGATGATTAAAATTAAACGTGCATTATCGCGCACATTTGGGAACGTGCAAAATCTCCAAGATTTCTTTGATCTTGAGAAATTTTATCAGCACGATAAATTCCGCGCAGTCTTGAATCGAGCTTCAAACGACGAAAATGCTCAGATCGGTTTGCACATTTCATTATGAATTCCTCAACACATTTTTTATAAACCCTGCAATAATTTACACGTTATTTCATTGAAAATATCATTGTCAAAGAAAAGCAGATTTATGATCATCATATTTCCCTTACTTCAATTTCTAGTCATTCCGGAGCGGAGTTTTGCGGGTATCCAACTAGAGACGTACGAAAAGGAAGGGTACGTAGGTCAATTAATACTAAAACTACCATATCGGTCAAATGATCGGTTGAATAATCCACTTAAAATTTTTAATTTTTAAACAAATTTAGATATTCCTTAATATCACTTCATTATACACGTAAATGCCAACGCATATATGACAAATGTGGGCATTTCTATTTTGTCAGTGTATATTGATTGAACATTGTCACAATACCCGCGACATTAATCACGTGCACATATTTCATCAAGTTTAAGTAGTAGTTAAGTTCAAAAAGTTTAAATGGAAATAATACAAACATTGAAAGTAAAGAAAATAAGTTGTTTTAATGACTACTTAAGAATCATTTCGTTTATTATTGCCTTTAGTAAATTAATTGTTAGCTACATTCAATCGACAGAAATATAACTTATTTTTAAAAACCGGTAATTCGACCGGTTCCGGTAAAAATAGGTATGTATCAATTGTAAAAATTGTGAAATAATGTATCAATTGTCGGTATCTTTAGCGTTAAAGCAACAGATACGGCTTTGCGGGCTCGCAGAGGCCCGCGGAAACTCGTCAGTGCTTGGCCGGGTGACGAGGTTCACGCAGTCAAGGATTCGTCTGGGCCTGCTCGAGCCTTGAGGAAACGGCGACGCGGCCAACAGGGGGTATAGTTTCAATGGACGCGTCGACGGCGGACCCCGAGTTCGCAGCCGACGAACTTCTCTAGGCGAGGTCCAATGACAGCGTCGGAAATATCGAGCGGCATTGAGCGCCGACGCCGGGCGGCGTTCATGCACGCCCAGTTCAGCGCAGTTTAGCGCGAGCGTTCGGGGAGCGGACATCGAGGAACGCACTCGAGTGGACCGGTGGATGCCGCCCAAGAGCTGATGAAATAGTACACATGCCTTCTGCCCGGGAATTTTCGAGCTAAGGAAGACCGACACGGTGATAAAGAGGGAGAGAAAGGTCCAGACAGTGGATAAGTATAGTTAGGGGAAGCAGAAGAGCGGTCAAGTCGGTCGAGCCGTCTTCTTACCAGGACAGGTGCCGAAATCCACTCGAGACACAAGGGCAAGTTAAGTAGACGGACGGCCAGGGAAGTCGTAGCTCTGAAAAGTCGTCGAGGTGTCATGAGAGGCGGTTTCACGATCCGCCCTTCTAGTCGGTCCTTCCCAGCGTCATGTATGTCGTGCCCAACAAACGAGGTAAATAGCAGGGGAAGATGTCGATTGACGTATATGGATGGGTTTCTATAATGATCGATATTTATCTACCCGGTTAGATTCTAAATTATGACTACGATCTATCCTACTCATTTAATGTATTCATTAAAAGAAATGTGCATTTTACTTACTCAGAGTCGAGGTAATCGGTCGCGGGGTGGCACATCCTCTAATTCCGGGAGGTTCCAATTTTGCGAAGCTAGTCAGCATTTTCAATGGCCTCTAAAATCCCCCCTTTCCCATTCTGACTACTTCTCGTTTACACGATCTACTACGTGTTTAAGGCATGTTTACGAAAAGTTTAATTTAGAGCGATACTTATGGCTTTATTACGAGTCGCGCTTAAAAACCCATTCATATACGATCCTTAATCAAGATTCAATACAGCTTGGCTTAGTGTAACTTGCGTGGTATCCAAAGTTAGTTTGAGGAAATAACTGGTATTCGATCTTCGGTAGAGTGTTAACATATTAAATTGGTATACAGTTGTTTGTTACTGAACATTAAATTAACGCGCAGAATGAGGAGGGAAAAGGAAGGTTGAAGTGGAACCACCTGTGAAAATTTAGTCAATGATGAAAATGGTACTGATCGGTATTAACCAAAATTTCACCTGGTCTTAGTAAGGAAGTAGGTGAAATTCGGTGTCTGAAAAATTGGACGCATTTGTTAAAAATATCCTTATTTGGTAGAGGCTGTTGCCTCGTAAGACCCTCGTTTCTACGCCACTGTGCAGTGGCGCGTATTGTTGCGTCATCCAAGGCAGGGTTGAAATGGAACTCGGCGTTTCGGAGATCGAGGAGCAGTGACACACGAGATGTCTTTAAACAGGATGAACTCGAGTAAAATAGAGGTGCTTCGGGCGCCGATCCGTTTACATCGGAACGCGTATCTTTCGTAGAATTTTATTGTTTCTTTTTTTACTGATTGCGCAATGGGGTTGGTACATGCAAAAGCGTAATGTCAAAAAAGGTACCGAGAGATGTGCGAATTTAGGATCGTTAGGTTTAACCTATTTAAAGTTTAAATCACTTCCTGATCCTGTTTACTTCTACTTAATTACTTAAAAACGACAAGAAATGAGAAAGTACGAGCCTAACAGTGTTTTTTAATCGTATGCAGGTGCATCGTAAATGCAATTTCGATTGCTGCTTGTAACAAATTTCAGAACATTATCATAACCGGGTATAGTAATTTAATTGAGAAACAATTATGGATTTGCACCCGGGGGTGCAGAAATGCACCGAGGGTGTACCGAAGCGAACCTATATAAACGGGACAATGTAATAACAACCGGGCATAAAAATGAACTCGGCGGGTCAGAAATA